TCAGCTCCAATGTATGCCGTCTTGCAGTCGAGTTAATGTTAAGTCAAACCAATCGCACAAACATTGATTTGTTTGAAACGATTCGTTCACTCGATTATAACTATTACTATAGTCCGGGACGACTCACCAAAGGCACCATCAGTTTAATGGACAAACAGTTTGATAGTTACGACGAATCAGATCTCATTGTCAGACATATTCTCATTTAACATGTTTTTTGTGTAATTTTTATTTTATTATCGAATGTAACATAATAATAATGGTAGCATTTGCTAATATAATGTATTATATTAATGATAATATTTAGAGAAATCAAATAAATTTCATGACTTTTACATTTACATCAATTTCATAAATTAATTGAATGACAAATAAATAAGATTATTTAAATCCTGTTATTGAAAAATATGTTTATGGCTAAATTAGATAGTTTTACATTTAATAATAATATACTGGATTTTTTATTGATATGTTATTCGCATTTCCTTGTTATTCAATGAAATACCTTGAGCAAATATTTATTACGGATAAAGAAAATCAATTGTAAAGAGTTCATTATTATCATTTACACTAAGGTAATTCATAGGTCATTAGCTGGATCAATTGATTGCGCATATAATAGTGTATGAAATTATATAAGATTTCATATGAAGTGAGAAATGAATAAACGGTTAAATGAAAGTGAAGTGCTTTTCATAGATTACTAGTCAATACATTGAGACAATTATTTACTGAAACACTTGCATTTCCTTAATATATTATTATAACACTTCAAACAAGGTCAATTATTAATAAGTTTTAGGCGGCAACTGTTATATAAGACTCAAATATTACAGTAATTTTTAGTGATTAATAAATCATAATAGGTTTGGAAAATTTGAAAACTTAAGCAGAATATATAAATACTGTATAAAGTGTATAGAGTTAGTACTGGTCAATATTACGTATTATATTTAACAAAAGTATAATCGAAATTTCATAATTAAGTTACATTCTTCAAAACTTATCTTAAAATTCAATTTTACAAATTAATAAATAATTGCAATTAATTAATTGCCACATTTAATATAATGTTGGTTAATAGCAGTAATATAAGCGATAATATTGAAGTGACAACTTATATGCCAATTGGTGTTTGTGAGTACGTCAGGAATGAATGGATACGATGTAAGACTGATGTGGAAAAAGACATCAATTATGAGCTTGGTCAAGTATTTGACACTTGGAGTGTTGTTGGAAGTAAATTTAAATAACTTACCAGCCCAGGATATTATTTACCAGTTTAGTTTCTAATAAATTAAGCTCTGTTTACCTGTCAGTTATCTGACCTAGACCTACACTGATTAGAGAAAGATATCGCCACAAATGCTTTCAAAGGTGCTATCATTGAAGAGCTTAATATATTAGGGGGTGACACTACTCAGTTTACAATTAATCCGGATACCAATTTTATTGAAGCAATTAGAAATATCAAGGATAGTTTGATTAGTTTAAGCATTAATCTAAATAATAATTACGCTAATAAAGTAGCCGATATGTTATTTAACGAGGATCCACCTCAACTAAAGGCATTTAAAATAGAAAAATTGAGATTTGAGGGCAATTTTGAAACGTCAGTTGGGGGTAATTTTATAAATTCAAACCAAAACATTAAACTAATTGAATTCAAAGTAAAGAGAATTGTGAGTATTGAAAGTTGGGCATTTAACCTAGCAGACTGCGATGAAAATAGCTGCCCAACAACTACTGTTAATTTAGAAAACACTCAATTGAGTGAAAAGAGTTTAAATAAGGAGGCGTTTCAAATAATTTCCAATACTCGACAATATCACATTAATTTAGGTATATTATTGCATTCATTTCTCCAATAAATATGATAGATGATTTAAAAATTTTAAAAATATTTTAGCCAATAATAACTTGAAATATATACTTGAAGAACAATTTGGAAGTCTATTGTATAACAACCAAGCTACAAATTCACTTAAAATCACTGACAATCCCATCGATTGCAGTGCAGATAATAAGCATATATTTAATTGGCTTCTGTCTAAAAGTAGTTTATATAAAGATCGTGTGCTGGCTAATTGTGCGGATAGTCACATATCAATTTGGGATTACGATTGGAATTCAGGTACAACACCGGCACCAACACTAGAACCGGTACCGACACCAGCACCGACACCAAGTCCAAGTTAGTATAGTAATTAAATAATGACAGTATAATAGTGTATTAGTTTGGTATAAAAATAATTATATAAGAAATAACATATTTCCTCGAAATATAGTCCCAAAGGATATCAATAGTATTGAAGATGTTATTCGATATATCAATGACTTGACGAATAAAACACTTAATAATAATGGATTGAAATCTATTGAAGATTTAAAAGATGTGATTATAATAATTGATGAAATGAATACATATTTGCAAACAAATCATACAAAACCTATTGAACCGATTTTGGCTCAAAATATATCTCAAAAAATGGTGACATTATTGAGTCAAATAATTGATCAAAACGTATGGATGTATGGGAATAGTAGTGAGAAAATAGAGTTGGCGTCAAAAATATTACATTTTATACAAACCATTGCTTTCGCCACTAATTGTTATTTAAGTCCACAAAATAATTTAGTTTTATTTGAAAGTAAAAATTTATTTGAAAAATATAATTATAATATAACGGATGAAATTACTTTTAAATACAATTCTTCATCAATGATGATATCAAATAGTAGTCAATACGAAGGAAGGGATGATGAAATGTATTCGTGCGTTAATAACACATCTTTGGGAACATATATCGATAAATTGGGACAATATTTAAGTGATGGTATGATTGAAAAACAAATCAATAGCCATATCTAACGCAAATTATAATCTTTACGATTATTTTCAGTACTTAAGTCGCTACCTAGATTACACTCTTAATCCATAAATAACTTTTTAATAAACATTTAATAAAATTATTAAAAATTAAGTATTTATCAAAAAAACATAAGAATCGGTTGGTTTTGGGCGATAGAGTTGAGTGTGTTTTCTGGGACTTTGATCACAAGAAGTGGTCATCAGATGGATGTCATGTAATAGAGAGTGAATCCAATCGTTCATAAATAGTTTAAAACATAAGAATCGGTTGGTTTTGGGCGATAGAGTTGAGTGTGTTTTCTGGGACTTTGATCACAAGAAGTGGTCATCAGATGGATGTCATGTAATAGAGAGTGAATCCAATCGCGAGATAACTGTCTGTGAATGCAATCATTTGACTAATTTTGCGGCTCTTATGGACAATTCCGGTCGAGAAGATAATAGTTTTGGAAAAAATATTTTCACATATATTTGTTGCGGACTTTCAATCATAAGTCTCTTAATATGTCTGTTATTTTTGTGGAGAAAAAAGTTATTTAATATGAGATTAAAGAGTTTGGGAATGAGTGATACATTAGGATTTTGGGCAAAACAAGACTTTTTTGTAATGAATTTATGTATTTGTCTATTGATTACAAATTTAATGATTATTATAGGAATGGATAGAAAAGAATGCTTGGTAATTATATTTCTATTATATTAAATTACTGTATAATTAACTTGTTTTAAATGTTATTTACAGGAAGTTTGTGAAGTAATGTCAATGTTATTGTTGTTTTCAATTTTATCGACATTTGTTTGGATGCTTTTGAATGGATTTCAATTCTTCCAATTGGCTAACAATGCAATGAATGTTGACTATAAAAAGTCACTGTATCTCACATTAGGGTACGGACTACCGGTGCTTATTATTACAGCATTTTTAGTGGAAGTTAGGATTCGGACATATAATACAAAAGTTTTTGGAGAACAATTGACTGGAGAGTATTTGTATGAAATTGAATTTTATATGTTAATTGGTTTGCGAATATGTCATTTAAAATAATTTTTATTTTTCAAAGTTGCTGGATATCATCCCAAAAACATCCCAATAATATCTATGTATTAATTGGTATTTAACGCAATTTTTATAATTATTTGTGATTTAATATATTAAATTAATTATGTCATTGTAGGTCCTGCAATGTTATCCATTGCTTTAAATATGGCATTCATTGCATACCTATTATACAAATCCAAATCCAAAGTGAGTTGTGGTTATATCCTATCATTTGTATGGATTTTGTTCAATAGTGGCATTTCGTGGCTATTATTCGTGTTATATATCCACCGCTGGACTACATTTCCTCAAATGTTTTCATATCTATTTATTTTCTTCAATGGATTACAGGTTTAAACTATAATCTGACAAATCTATTGAATATAAACTATTTTATTATAATTTGTATACAAAGGGAGTATTTCTAGTGATATATCAGATGAAGATACGTCTGAAACCGTACAAACAAGTCAATTAAAACCAAGGACCTGAAAGTGACTGGCTAATAATGAGAATTTTGCTTAGTTAGATTAAATAATCTTATAATGTTAAAAATTATAATTAAAAAATTTAACACAATTATTTCATTATAAATGATAACTATTGCAAAAGTTTGCGGATATCTCCAAAAACCTAAGTATTATTTAGATAACAATTTCTAATATTGCGGATATGATAACAATTTAACAACATTTCACAAATTAAATATTTATTTAATTGCAATTTAAGTTATGTACTGTATGTAACCATAATTTTTATTACAAGTCAATATTAGTCTTATAATTTATTTATAACATTTGAGATAGGAGATTTTTTATAAACTATTTAAATATACAATACATCATGAAGTTCAATCACATATGTTATATAAATATAATGGGTGTCTCAATATAAACCAACTACTTTTAATTATAATTAAAAATATTTACAATTATTTTATACTAATAAAAACTATACTAAAATGTTGGAAATTTATTGATATTATATACTGATTCTACAAAATATTTATAAAATTCATACCCTGGTCATGATTTTTGTTTTAATGCATGCATGTCTGTTTTTGCGCGTATCATATCAAAATCCCGAAATTCAAAACCCCGAAATACATAATCCCGAAAATAATAATAAATATATCAATAATTATTTTTAATTTAGTTAATATAAAATTTATTGATACTATTAGAGTAATTATTTTAAAGCTAATTAGTGTCATACTAGTAAATAAATATCTCATCAATTATTAAATATTGTAATTATTGGCTGAATTTTATTAGTGTATAACCAGTGTATGATTCAAAGCGATGATTTCATTAGGGTTATTTATGTAAAGTGCTGATCACTAATGATTAGTACGGGCCGCTATAGTACTGTACAAACTAGTTATATTTTGTTTATTTAAGTTATTCAAATACAATTAATAAAAAGGATTTAGATAGAGAACAGACTATACAAAATATAATAAATTCAAAAAATGTCCGAACATTAGATGATTATTTGTCTGCTATCGCTCGATGATTTGAATTTTAATAAAATATTTGTTAATTCAATTTATTTGTTATATAAATTATTTACTTTACATAAATAGCCATGGTTGCCTTAATGAGATCATCGCTTTGAATCATACACTAGTTATACTCTAATAAAATTCATTAATAATTAAAATATTTAATATTTAATAAGATATTTATTTAAAATAATTAGCTGTAACATAATTACTCTAATAATATCAATGAATTTTACATTTACTAAAGTAAAAATAATTATTTATATAGTTATTATAATTGTCGGGGTTTTGATTTCGGGATTATGAATTTCGGGATTTTGAGGTACTCTCGTTTTTTACGTATGCATCTCTTTCTCTCTCTCTCTCTCTCTCTCTCTCCCTCCCTCTCAACACAAACGCATGATTTTATTTCTTTAATAACTTAAAACAAAATAAACTCTGATTTATATTAATAGACATTTTATACAAAACAATTAAAACTAAAACAAATTGTAATTAAATTCATTGAATGACGACTCGAGTAATAAGACTATCACTGAATCAATTGAATCAATGCTTGTATTATATTCATAGCGCTGTAAGAAATTCACGATTTTTTATACGCAAAAACAGACATGCATGCAGCAAAACAAAAATCATGACCAGGGTATAAATTTTATAAATATTTTATATATGTTGCATAAAATATTAATAAATTTCTAACATTTTGGTATAGCTTTTGTTAGTATAATTGTAAATATTTTTAATTTTAATTAAAGTAGTTGGTTTACGTTGGGACACACTATATTATAATAAAGATTCATGTACAATATCTTTAATAAATAATATAAGTTATATAGTGTATATATATTTTATTGTTTGTTAATATAAAATAAATATTTAAATATAATTACAACTTTTGAGATAAAGTTTTTTAATAAATTATGCTAAGTAGCGTATATTGCTTATAATGAAATATCTGACTTAAGCCAATAATAAAAAAGTACAGTATTAATTTAAATCCAAATAAATTTATCTTATATGTTGAAGTAAATAAATATAGTCTTTATTATGTATAAACTACCTCAATAAAATAAAATAAAATAATACATTTCTAAATACATAATAGCATTCATAAAATTATATTTGTTTAATACGTTTTATGATATTTCTGTAGTTTATTTTATAATTGCATTGTATATAAATGATATTGTTGCCAGCCTGAATATTAGAATTCATTTATATATAAACTAAATGCTTTACTAAATAATTCAAATGTTATCCTTAAATTTCCTTAAATTTTTATTTTGATATCTTATTAATAATTTCTAAAATATTTATTGTAATTATTAGTTAAAATGATCAACATATTAAAGTTACTTTTTATACAAGTAATATTAATTTCAACATATAATATAACCAGTATTGTAAGCAATGAGACCATTAATATACGAGCGAATAGTGTTTGTTATTATTCATCATTTAATTCAATACGATGTGAGACTGATGTGGAAAAGGATATGAATGCAGAGCTGGGTTTGCTCTTTAGTACCCATACAAAGCCAACTACTTTTGAATCAATCTCATGGTCTGGTCCTATAACTGATGGTCACATCAAAGATAATGTGATTCCAATGGACTGGACGGTCACTAAATTGGTACTGGATGTCACTAATTTGAAACACATTTCTCAATTAGCTTTCGATGGGGTACATATTTATCAGCTACAATTGTTAGGTGGTACCACAACTGAGTTAACCATTGAAAACGCCGTGGTAGCAATCTCCAATATCCAAAATAATTTGCATTCTTTAACAATAAACCTAGATAATAATATTCATCATACAATACCCGGACATATGTTTGATGATAATCGATGTAATTACGTGAATTTTGTTGGAAATTTCACGGTATCATTGACTGAAACTATTAACATTTACAATGAAATGCATTTAATAGAGTTCCACGTACAGAAAATTATGAAAATTGGTCATTTTGCATTTAACCTCACTAACGATGGACATGACTATAGCACTTATATGAGAATAAATCTACAAAACATTGAATTGAATGAACAGAGTTTAGAAGGAAATGCATTCAGTATATCGAACATCAATTATAACAAACGATATGAAATCAATTTTGGTATTTTATATTTCTAATTATAGGTTTCTATTATATGGTCTATTAGAGAGCTATGTTTCGTATCTGAATCTTAAGCGGAAGTCAAGTTGCTTTATAATATGAAAAATATTTGAAATAATTTTTCTTAAAAATCCTTTTATGTTATTCTAACATCTTTATAAATATTTAGCCGTAAATCACTTCAATTACATACGGGAAGAGCATTTTGGAAAGATTCTTGATTTGAGTATTAAAACTACACTCGATTTGACGGACAATCCCATTGGTTGTAGTGCTGAAAATTTGGATGAATTTAATTGGCTGTTGTCTAAAGATAGGTTCTATAGACACCGTGTGCTGGCTAATTGTGCGGGAAATCGTGAATCAATTTGGAATTACGATTGGACACAAATTCCCCCAAGTCCCAGTACAGCTCCTACATCTGAACACATTACAGGCACAACACAAAGTACTACTACAAGTCCAACTCAAAGTGCTTCTCCAGATCCTACTTCAAGTCCAACCTTAAGTCCAATTCCAAGTACTAATCCAAGCCTTACTCCAAGTACTACTCCAAGTGCTTCTCCAGGTCCAACTCAGCCGACTACTCTAAATCCAAGTATGAAATATGAAGGAAACATAACAATCCAAATCTCCAATATTTAATCTTGTAAACAATTATCTCAATGTTAAAGTGCCATCTCTAAAATGAAATACTCTTAGTTACCCTATGATGTCTAGCTTTAAACTAGACCTCATACCAGTCCCAGTCCCAGCCCTATATAGCAATATATCTGAGCCTTCGAGGAAAGGAAGACATGAAAATTAAAAAAAAGTATATTTGTGTATTAATTTTATGAAGTTTAGATTCCAAGAAATGCTTTGTTCAAGGACTTTCTTACATACAAATTCGTACAATATTTGCTATTTATAAGAAAAATTAGTCGAAAGCACAAAATGTTTTATACATAGTGTACTGTTTACGAGATATATAAAAGATCAAATATTTGTGATACAGGTTTTGTTATGTTTTCATTCATATAGCGTATATTGTTTTTAAAATTAATTAGTAGAAGTTAAAATTAAAGTATATATTTTTATTTAATTTGTAAATATGATATTAAAATAATGACCCTCTAGATTTTAGCGAAATAGAAATAAAAAGTATTCAAGAAATTGTGATTTATGCCAATCATATGAATCTTTTAACACAACGTAATCACGGATTAAAATCCACTCAAGAATTAAAGGATATAATTATTTACATTAAACACGATGTCAAAGAGAAAATGTTATGTTTCTAAAATGAATTTTTATTTGTTATCATATTGATAAACAATGATTCTAATGACATTATTAGAAAATTATTTTTCAAACTGTAATGATTAATGCATTAGGGATGTTTATATTATCATATTTCAAAATTAAATTCCAGGCTAATGACAAGATATTTTTAAATGGTTTCTTCACTAAATTAAACCTATATAAAGTGTTTGACAAAAGGGTTTACAATAGTTTATTTAGCTTTAAAAATCGTAGGATTGAGCTGGAACAAAATAAAAAATTTTGCAACTATTGTTTTCTGGCACCAATCTATTGGTATGCCCAATTTTATTCAGACATAAGGGGAACGGTAGATATGACTGTCCATCAATAGCTCAAAAACTATAAGATGTAGGTAAGATCTGATTTTTGGAAATTATGCCTTATTGATTTTTAAAAATAAAACGTTTGATAACTTAAAACAATAAAACTCTTAGATTTATATCGAAAGAAATTTTATACAATTAGAACATTCGAAATCTTTCACTCTTAGAGTTTTAAGTCACAACTAATAAAAATATACCAGGATGTTCCTGAACCCTTCCCCTACACATCATAAATGTTTCATCCAGTTTGCACAG